GAAAAAAAAAAAAAAAAAAAAAAAAAAAAAAAAAAAAAAAAACACATCATAGTAAAACCAATACCTTCTCAGCTTCGCATCGAAGCTAAAAAAGATAAAAGTATCAAGAGTAAAATTTAATGACGATTTTATTATTATTATTATTATTTTGTACAAACATTATGTTTTATCAAGCAAGAACCACTGTTTCAACAAATGAATTAACTCAGCAAAGAAAAATAATATAGCTTATAATTTATAATAAATTAATCGATTCATTTATAGTTAATACAATAAATTCTTTAAATGTCTATTTAAAAAAAATATATTTTACTTTTCAAAAAACAAATAATAAATAATGCAAATGCAGACTTTTTAAATTACATTTCCAAAGTATACGTTTAAAAGTGAAAATAATGTAGAAGTAAAATGACTAATGCGACAGAAGCAAGTTCCTATAATTTTGATCTGATTAAAGACTTTAATTTCGTATTTATTCACTTANTATTAAAATACATAAAAAATTGTTTAAAACAAGTGTTATAAATGCAGATGAATTAAATAGGGCAAATATTAATTTAATACGTATTGTGCAAAATAATTATTTCGCCAAAGAAATTAGTTGTTTGATAAACGGTAAAGAGGTGTCAAAGAAAAGTAAATTGTTACGATTAAGACCGTTTTTAGACGATAAACATTTAATTAGAGTTGGTGGTAGACTGAAAAATGCATTGTCTATTGATGAATGTCAACGTCATCCTATAGTGTTACCTGGTGATAAGTGTAAATACACGCGTTTATTATTTCTACGCGAACATGAACGTTTAATGCACGGCGGCCTGCAGGCAATGTTATCTACTATTAGATTAAATTATTGGCCATTAAACGCACGTAGGACAGCAAAAGGCGTATTGTATTATTGTATTAAATGTTTCCGATATAGACCGGTTGTAGTACAACCCATTATGGGCGATCTACCTAGTAGTCGTTTTGAGCAGGGAAGAGCCTTTTTAATAAGTGGTTGTGATTTTGCCGGTCCGCTGATGATAAAGGAGAGTCTTAGAAAAAGGGCATGTATATTAAAATGTTACGCTTGTATATTTATTTGTTTTTCAACAAAAGCAGTTCATATTGAATTAGTATCTGACTTAAGTACAAAGTCTTTTTTAAATGCATTAGATAGATTTTTTAATAGACGCGGGATTGCAAAAATCTTATACAGCGATAATGCTACAAATTTCGTAGGAGCTAATAAATATTTAAAAGAAGTTTACGATTTATTTCAATCTGAAGAGCACAAAAATCAGCTGATTAAGCATGTTGCGCAAAAAGGCGTGGAATGGCGATTTATTCCTGCGCGCTCGCCTCATTTTGGGGGTTTATGGGAGTCCGCTGTGAAGTCAATGAAAACTTTAATTTTTAAGGTGTTAGGGGAGGCATTTTTAACATACGAGGAATTAAATACTATTTTAATAAGGGCAGAAGCTTGCTTAAATTCTCGACCATTGACTACTCTTTCCCCAGATCCATCTGATCCTTTATTCCTTACACCTGCACATTTTTTAATTGGAGAGTCGCTTATGTCTGTGCCAGAAGCGGACGAAACCGGTGTTCAAACCAATCGATTAGATCGATGGCGTCGTGTGCGACATTTTTCCCAAATGTTGTGGAAGAGATGGAGACACGAATATTTAGCTCAATTACAGGAAAGGGTGAAGTGGTCCACTACCAAGGGTCCTAATATTAACGTTGGTACTATAGTTTTGTTACGCGATGAAAATGTAGCGTCATTGAATTGGAATTTGGGTCGCGTACTAGTNATTGAATTGGAAGTTGGGTCGCGTACTAGCGGTACAGCATGGTAAAGATGGTGTTATACGTTCTGCGACAATTAAGACTACAAACGGTGAAACTAATAGAGCTGTACGACAATTATGTCCGTTACCTTTTGAGGGCAATCAAACAATGAGTTAAATTGCTTCAATGATTCATACTGTTAAAATTAAACATTTTTTGATTATTTATTTGTTAATTTATTTATATTTATTTTGTATAGATAAATTATGAGAGTCCAATTGTGTGTTTTTTCGATGGTTATTGTCGAATATTAATTGTTAAATCTATTTGATAAGTTTTATTCCTTTGGTTTATTTATAGTATTTTATAGTATTTTGTAATATTTTGTTTTTTTTGTTTATTTGATTTGTTTAATAATCTTTAATTTAAAACAGTGTTTTAAGGCGCCCGCTATGTTAAGTCCTATGTAACTATCGTTATCAACATGTACGTGGACGGTCGTTGACCACCACTTTTACTTAAGTCAGTCGGCGGCGTGCATTCTTATCGTATAGTTGTAATTTAAACGAATAAAAATTGATATATTAACGTTCATAGTGTTACTTAAAATTTAAATATAATAAAACCCAAAAAATCTGTTCAACCAGAAACAAGACATACAGTCCACAACAACTAACACAAAACATATAATCCTAGCTACCAAATCTTTTGATTTGATTTTAAGTTTTTGTCCATGTAAATTAGTTTCTTGTTACCAACAGAATTTTAAAAACCAAAAGTGTTATTCGGGAGAGATAGATAGGCTTTGTACGGCCAATGGATAAGGAAATAAAATGTATAGTCTGTTTATTCAAATAGTTTATAGCATTAATAGTAAAGTTATTGATGTTGAATTAAGGCAGATATTATGTTATAGGTATATTGATAAATATTTGGCCATAATTAGTGGTGTATTAAACGATAATACAATAAAATTTTGGGGGAAGCTGTTCAAATATTTAAATTCAAATAGGAATTTATAACACACACAAATTTTTTAATAACCTTTTTTCTTGATCATAATTCTTCTAAAATAAAACTAAAAAAATCCACAATGGTTTAACAAAATGGAGGCGAAAACACACAATAATTATTGAAGTCAATTCTTTCTNAATGGTTGAACAAAATGGAGGCGAAAACACACAATAATTATTGAAGTCAATTCTTTCTTTAAAAAAGTCAACTACAGCAATTTTGTGCTCGGTTGTTTCTACGTGATCTTCATATTTTTTTAAATCCACTAAAATCCCACATTCAATACAGAATGTTTTTGTTTGATTGATTATGTTCATGTCTGTTATAAAAAAGTTAAATTTTTGTGATTAAAAAAAAGATAAAATTATCAAGAGTAAAAGACGAATTTTTTATTATTGTTTATTTTTTTGTACAAACATTATGTTTTATCAAGCAAGAACCACTGTTTGAACAAATGAATTAACTCAGCAAAGAAAAATAATATAGCTTATAATTTATAATAAATTAATCGATTCATTAATAGTTAATGCAAAAAATTCTTTAAATGGCTATTTAAAAAAAATATATTTTACTTTTCAAAACACAAACAATAAAAATTTACTTTTGGTGTAGTCCAAAACTGTAGAAATTCTTAAAAAAAGAAAAATAATGGGTATAGTGTATAGTGTTTAATAAACGACAAACTATTATTATTCTAACTCCAGACTTTTTAAATTACATTTACAAAGTATACGTTTAAAAGTGAAAATAATGTATTATATATATATATAGTAGTAAAATGACTAATGCGACAGAAGCAAGTTCCTATAATTTTGATCTAATTAAAGACTTTATTTTCATATTTATTCACTTAAGTATTATCACAAGTAAAACAAGTATTAATATTACTTAAACATATTTGTTGTTGATTATATTTTTATCGAGTACTATAGTGAGCAGACACACATTAATACCCAATATGAACAAATCGTTAATTTAAAATAATAATATAATGCTAGTTTACACCGCCATTAAACACATACCACCATCCGAAATATTATCAAAAGGTAACGTGATGTTGATATCCGAAAATTCACTACTAATATTTGCATTAAAAGAATTAATTTCATATACTGTATCTTTAGTATCCAAACATTTATCAATCGGAATGTCAATTATTGTATGTGAAATAAATTTTGACTCCTGTAGTTCATCACTGATCACTTCAATAGCTGCAAAAAAATTTAATTTGCTAATATATCCTTACAAGTGTTATTAAACAATCTATCATGGACTGATGTTGAAAGATAAATGACGACCATATTAAAATAAATCAAAAAAGATTTTTAGATATTTTATAGAGATTGAGCCCATAAGGGAGGTGGATTAACAATATCCTTATAGTTCATGGTGTAAAATAAACATGTTGTTTACATTTGAACGCGGTGTTTAGGACAACCCAATATAACCTCTATTATAGTGCTAGGAAGATCATCGAGTTTAGAAAAGATTTTAAATCATACTGAAATACTAACCAAGATTTTAACCAATTAATGTTCAATAATCATTATTTATACAGTTATCATCAAAATATTCATTTTTTATTTTTACAGTGGTTTTCTCAACACTATAAACTTGTATCATTTCAAAAGTGTTTTCATTGTAATTTGAGACAGGTGGAAATTTGGCCAAGTTTGAATCATCGCTCTCATTATTATTCATAACTCCTTAAAACAGGGAAACATTTTATTTATTAGAAAAGATTTACATGACAAAAAAAAAAACAAATCAAATCTATAAAAATTATTTAGTTACTGGCCTTCGAGTAGCTAGGGCTCCGCCACAAACAAGAGTAAGACCATTTGGGTCATCCTTTTAAGTAGGCCACTGATTCCGGTAGAAATACTCAGCTACGTCGAGCACGATAAATGTTTTGCAGGAAAAATATTACATCAGTATCAGTGTAACAAAAATATTTTGAAAATTGAATTATTAAAATGAAGAAAATTAAATAAGAGAATAAAGTAAAATGTATTGGGTATAAAGTTGACGTTCGTTAATGTGGTGTTCCCCTTGGGCGTATTCAAAAATTATTTTAAGAGGTTATTTAATTTTATTACTTTGTTAAACATTAAAAATTTAATAGCAATTAAATTTTTTTTTTTTTTTTAAATCGAAGTGATGATAAAAAAAAATGTTATTATATCATTATTTCTAAAAAGTTGCATAAAAAAAATTTATAGCGCAGGTTCAAGGGAGGCAATCGCTTATATCCCCCTTAAATACGCTCCTGGTACACACAATAATTATTAGTATAAGTAGTTCTATAAAGTCTGAGCTGGGACCCCCCCTAACCCACATGTTGTGGGTTTACCCTGTCCTAGGTGGACGGGCGGTGTAAACGGCTGTTGGTATATGGTGAAAGGCATAGTCCCCTCATCCACCCACATGATGTGGGTTTACCCTGTCCTAGGTGGACGGGCGGTGTAAACAACCGGGAGGGGGATATGGTGAAAGGCATAGTCCCCTCACCCACTCACATGATGTGGGTTTACACTGTCCTAGGTGGTCGGGCGGTCCTGGATCCAGCAGGAGGGGAGCGGACTGAGCCTCGCCCTGGACAAGACCGAAGCGGTCCTGTTCACGGGCAGGTACAAGTTCGCTCCTCCACGGCTCACCGTGCTGGGGGTGGACGTCCCGCTCAGGGATTCCATGACATATCTGGGCCTGGTCTTCGACAAACGTCTGATGTTCGGGCCGCACATCACTCGTGCGGCCCAACGGGCCCAGAAGGTCATGGACAGCCTGGCGGGGCTCATGCCCAATCTGGGAGGACCGAGGGAGATGCGGCGCAGACTTCTCGTCAGCGTCGTACACTCGGTCCTCCTGTACGGGTCCCCGGTCTGGGCGGATACCCTCGAGTATTCGCCCAGGAACCGCGAAGCCCTGCTCCGGGTGCAGAGGCGGGCGGCGATCCGGACCGTGTCGGCTTACCGAACGGTCTCCGGAGTGGCGGCGGGAATACTGTCGTCACTGCCGCCCGCCGACCTGCTAGCCGCGGAACGGGCCGCCGGACATGAGCTCC